CCCCCCCCCCCCCCCCCCCTCCTCTCGGTGAGGCCAGTTCAGCCATAATCTCCCCTCTCAGCACTGGGTGTTTCAGACAAACATTTGCACTGTAATCCCAGGGAGGAGCAGATGTGGTGGGGGATGGAGCGCGCCCAGCAGACCTTGATGAAGGTGATTTGTTTGCTACATGCAGACGGCGAAGGAAAACAGCTCTGAGAGACGTTTCCATATTCTTTCACAAAGTCAGATTCTCATGAGTTGAGAGAATCTTACCAGCAGGTGAAGGGAAAAATTTTGACTGAGCAATTTTAACTAAAAAGTTCCTAAAGTTACACACACACGTTTGTATTTCTACCCGGAAAAGGACTTTGTATTGACTTCCTTTTTATTTTAGGAGCTGAATTTATGCCTAACCCAGACATTTTCCCTAATCCTAATCTGAATTGAAGCTTAATTCACACCTTAGTCGTCAACCGAGCCCAAACACACCACTTCTTCTTATGGAATGGCAAACAAGTGATTCTGATATCAAACTCACAAAGCTACACACACACATTAAACATTATCTAAAAATACCCTCTCCTGTTATTCAGGTACTTAGGGAAGAGAAATAAATTTGCTACACCAGATTGACCAAAAATAGGTGATTAGTCTGATTTAAAGCTAGTCTGGTAAAAACCTGCCACTGTTCTAATCTTAAAACGGCGCAGAAACTCGACATCATTGTTCACAACATTTTCTTGTGTCCGTTTATTGGACCGGTTGAAATCCAACTGGAGAAATCCAACTCAATGGGAGAAATCCCAGACGGAGTGCTGAAGGGAGATGAGAATAGAGTACAGCGTGTCCATACCCAGGCTCTGTGCATGGTTTCCTTAAGGTTTGACCAACGTAAATGATGAAGTAGTGGCATGCTGCTGTATTGAGTTCATGAAAGAGCGTCAGACAGAAAGCAATAAATAAAGACCTTCATGACAGATCAGATCAAAATATAACCTTTTAACTTACATGCCAAACAATAAATGTGCAAATCCCACTAAATACTCTAACCCCATCCTGAAGCATGGTGGTGGCAGCGCTGCACTGTGGAATGGAGCTGAAGACAGGGCGATCCTGGAAGAAACCCAGTCAGAGGTCTATTCACAGGTTCACCTTCACTTTTCAGATTTTTAATGGCAAAAGAGATGCGAAGCTATGTAGAAATTTTCTCACACTTCCCTGCCAAGCTCTACTTTGTGATGGTCTGTTACATAAAACATCAACATTTAGGGTTGTAATGTGAGAAATGTCAACAGATAGAAGTATAATTACTGTTCCATTAGATTTTAGGGATTCCATTTAGCATAAATAGCATCAGAAGGAAACGGGAGTAGAAATAAAATCACCTAAAATGTGATGTGTGTCCTGTTTACACCCTGTTTAAAATAACGCAATGACAACGTCACACATCATCAGCCATGTCCACAGCCATCATGGATGCTAGAAGGCCTCCAATCAGACCAACACCTGCTGAGAGGTAACTATGGTGATTCCTGCCCAATCAGAGGCAAAGGATGAGGATGGTAGCAGCACAAATCAGAAACAGTCATTTATATTACAAAACATACTTCCACCACGGGAATCAACACACTTCTGGCTTCCAAATCTGTCCTAAGCTGTAGCCGTTTACCTCTATCATCACCTTCCTGAGCCGTTTCTGTCAGATAAACCCTGAGAAACAATAAAGACAAGATTTTTATTGGGATGGCTTAAGGATTTGTTATGCACACGTTTCAGGACACACTGTAACAAAGTCTGGATGCATCATTTCTACAAGTGTTCCTTGGCTTTAAAGGGGAAGTATGATGTAAAATTAAATTTTTTGAGCTGATTATACACAGTGAAATGTCATTCAGACAGGAAGTGTTGAGGAACGGTATCTAAGTGATCTCTGTAAGCAGAGTGAACTATAACAAGGCCGCCACTCAGACGACAGATACTGCATTAGCCATGAAGAGGCTGGAGGTTTCTTCCTGTTAAAGGGGAGTTTTTCCTTTCCACTCTTGCTACATGCATGATCTGTATGAGGGATTGCTGGAAACTAAACGACACTAAGCAACACATACTGATCAATGTAAACTGCTAGGTTTCCTTTGACAGAAAACTCTTTTAGTCAGTTTTAAAAATAAATTGAACTTGACCGCATTGTTGGATAACTAGGATCAGCATGGAAATTACCGAATCTGTGTGGATTGAGCTGATTTGTTCTGCAAATTAGCTGTGAATTGGCACTATATAAAAATAAATTACCAGTAAAAAAAAAAAAAAAAAAAAAATTTAAATCTTTTTTTATCTTACCAGCAACAAATTAAAAAGTATTTTAATTACAAAGGCCAGAAGAGGAGTCGGTTTCCGAACTTGTTGGTCGAAATATCAATTTGAGTTTCTTCCCAGCAACAAAAATGAGAACCGTCTTTGAAAACCCTTAGTCCGTTTTAATTATTGAGTGTGATTACGTCTGCTTATGAGTAAAAAGTAGCTGGAGGTTTGTGGTCCTGCTTAATATGACATTAAAATGAAAACAAAAAGAAAAATGTAGCTAATAAAAGACTAACACCTGCTTCATACCTTTCCTATTTAAGTCATAAATGTCATTGAAAATCTAATTTTAATTGCTAATAAACAGAAAACTACTCCCAGTGCTGCACTCTGAACACTCCTGACCTATCAGCATCAATGTTTTACGTTTATAAAGGTGCATTTGTGAAATGCTGTAAAGAACACAACATACACACATACACACACTCCGTGAAGCTTGTTTTAACATCTATTTATTACCACCATAATATGAGAAATTTGGAAAATACAAAGATCAGCTTATTTATACGTCTGAAAATCTCAAGGAATAAGAAAAATATAAAAGAAAACAATTATGAAGTTATATTCTGTATCAGAAATTTCAAGAAAAGGGACAGTTTATACGCTGAGAGCTGGCAGGAAAGACGAAGACCTGAAACATGCAGAGAACTTTCACTATGTCAAATCTAATGCTGATCTATGAAGACAGGGGGCGCCAGTAGCATCAAGTGTGATTACAAACCTGCAGTGACGAACTGAAAAGAAAAGGTGGCGGTGATCTAACGCCCCCGTGTGGTTGCGATGGGAATAATAGTTTCCTGGGAAAACACAGAAGCTCCTCATAAAGTCCTGCAGCAAATCAAATCACTGCAGAAAACTCAACTTTCTTTATTTTTGATCATTTAGAAAGTGGTAAAATAAGACGTACTCTTTAAATTATGAATTTTATGTGTAGAAAAAAAAAAGAAAAACCACCGACACCATACCCACGACAATAATCCTTAATTTGAAGCAACCGAGAGATTGACGTTTGTCGAGTACATTTGGTTTGGAAGGTCAGGGCTGGTGGGTTCACACAAACAGAGCAGCAGTCCAGCCTCTCCCCCAGCTGGGGGTCAGGGGCGGTGTGAGGGGGGTGTTCAGGGAGCCTCAGGGCTAGTTTTAATAGCACCCTGCTGTGGAAGTTGCAGCTCCCCTTAAGCAGACTAGCCCCTCGGCCAGGTCCCTGCGCTCCGGCTCTGTTTGCTCCACAAGCTGCACCAGCCGACCTCCAACAGAACAGGTGAGCTCAGAGGCGGGCTCCGTGTTGAGAAGCACCAGGAAAATCCAGTGATACACATTTGAGTATGTGTGTGCACATGCGCATCTGATCCACAAAACTTTTTACATGCACAAAAAAAAAAAAAAAGAAAGAAAGGTACCCTAAAAACATTTTATGAAGATGAAAAACTTCTACGAGAGACCAGACTTCGACGTGTTTCTATCTGCTCATGATCAGGATCAGCCTAAAGTCTACTAAGAAGTTGGGCAGGGCTGGAAGGTGGAAGAGGGGTGATGGGTGGGGGATTTGGGGGTGGGAGGAAGCAGTGAAGACAGGGACAGAAAAACAGGAGGGCAGAGAAGCGTCTAAGCGCGCTCTCCGCGGATACGACGGGCCAGCTGGATGTCTTTGGGCATGATGGTGACCCGCTTGGCGTGGATGGCGCACAGGTTGGTGTCCTCGAACAGGCCCACCAGGTAGGCCTCGCTGGCCTCCTGCGGGGACACAGAGCCAGAGCGCGGGTTAGCAGCACAACTTCCACCACGCAGCGTTCAGTCGCCGTTGCCTCGCTCACCTGCAGAGCTCCGATGGCAGCGCTCTGGAAGCGCAGGTCGGTCTTGAAGTCCTGAGCGATCTCCCTCACCAGGCGCTGGAACGGCAGCTTACGGATCAGCAGCTCTGTGGACTTCTGGTACCGACGGATCTCCCTGAGAGCCACGGTACCGGGCCTGAAACGACGACACAGGCTCGTCAGGAAGAGTCAGCTGGTTCTTGGGGGGGCGAAGGCAGAACCAGTTGTCTGTTCTGGGCTTTGTTATTTTCAGCCTGATCTCCTGGGTTCTCCATCAGAACCAAGCCTGGGTCTGGACTTCCCACTGCTAAATATGACTGATAAACAATAACTTTACTCATTACTCCACCTCTCAGACAAAGCGCTTACTGCTAATTAGAGTGGCGTTGTCCAAACGTTTTTGTTTTTCCTCTTAATTATGATAGCAAAAACCTATTATTTTTACCTGCAAATTAAAGAATAAATTTCACAAATATATCTTAATGAAGGAGGCAAGGCAGGCAAGCAATGAGTCTATAGCTGAAGATAAAAAAAAAAAAAAATCTGATTTCTTTTTTGTCAGCAAACGCACCACACCCATGCGCAGGTCTCACTCTTCGCTGTGGAAGTTGTTGCTAATAACTCTTCCCAAAACTACAGATGAAAAACTCGCCCGCAGAACTCTGACCTGGTTGCTATCAGCTACACACAACCTGTATTTCAGTAACAAGTCGATAATCAAAAGCTTTTAGTAGACGATAATAAATAAGCAAATAATAATAATAATAATATTGCATGTTTTATTAGATCACCTAGTAAATAGCATTCATTTAAAAAGGACCGAGTGAAGCTGGTTCAGTGCATGCTACGAAACAGTGATGTCACCAGTTTTGGGAAGCCATCCTCTTCCTGTAGGTGAATACACACACCTGTAACGATGGGGCTTCTTGACACCCCCGGTAGAGGGGGCGCTCTTGCGGGCGGCCTTGGTGGCCAGCTGCTTACGAGGAGCTTTTCCTCCAGTGGACTTACGAGCGGTCTGCTTGGTACGTGCCATGACGACAAAGTTTCACCTGGAAGGGAAAATGGAATCAATCAATTATTATCTATGGAATATGTTGTTCTCTACCAAGATCATTAACTCTTAATACCTGAATTTGTGTCCAATTGAACAGAAAAAAAAGTAATTTCACTATTTCACTATATAGTTAGGAGCAATCATTGATGTCGATCCATACAGTTGTAGTATTCACGTACTCCCTGGTTGTATTCATAACGAAAGTTGTATAAAGTTTATTAGCTTCACAAGTCCATACGGGAGCAACAACGTACACAATTTAAATCCTCAGCAAATTTAACATCTGATGTGACCATTTAGTTTTGAACAAAGCTGAAGTCCAGTCTGAACTTTGTTCAGGAAATTCTCCACCCTTATTGAAGGACATTTCTCACCTTTTCTTTGTTGGTGCCATTTTGGGTTGGACTTTGTCAACACAACGCCATATAGACAGATCCCTCAAATCCTGTCTCATTTTTTCCACTCCATTTTCCCCAAACATTTGTACGACAGGTCTTTCATGTTGCCCTCTGTTGTCCAGTTTCCTCTTTGTTTTTAAAGACCACGCAACAGACACAGCTAAACATGCTTTACAAACATCATCTTGCTGGGTGAAAATAGCTATTTTTCCCTCTATGTTACACCATTTTGTTACATCTTCTCAAGACTAAGAAGTAATTGCAAATGATGGGCCTTTGTGAGAGGATGCCGGTAACAAAAGCTCAGTGAGACACTTTTCAGGATTGTTTCTCTGGGTTGTTTACCGCTGCTGGATCCTAAGTGTAAAGCGTTTCGTTATTGCCAAAAACCCGTTTACCTACGCAGCTACAGCTCAGAGTGAAATCATGTTCATCAGTGTTTTTATTTCCTCCAATTCCGCTGTTTAGTTTTGTTTCTCCTTTCAGTTCCGACGTCTCCTAGGAACCCTCGGTGCACAATTTTTTGGCAGTTACCCAAAAACATCGTGCCCAACCAATCAAAACACTGAACCACAAACCCCTACTACCAATCATAATTTGAAACGGGCGAATGCAAGAAAATACACCAATCCGGTGAGGCCCAGCCGTGTTTGTGGACCAATAGCCTTTCAGATTGCATGGTTTGAAGGCGGAACGAACAGTTATAGCCCCGCCTCATACCGCAAGATTATGGCCGCAGACTGAAACGAACCAGCCTACCAATGTAGAGTCAACGAACAGGATGGAAACTTGAATGGTTTTCTACCAAAACTAGAAACGTGGGCACATTAAACTACCAACAAATTACAGGATATACATATAGGTATCAGAACACCAACAGAGTCGTGGGCGCGACGCTATATTAGAGAAGAAAGCTGAAAGTGGAGCAGCTAGCTCGGCGGTGGAAGTACTGAGCCGTTTTTCTCCGAGTCTGGGCATCGAGGCAGCTGCTTTTCGCCTCACCTCGGCGTCGAATTTAAACGCTTTATAAGCTCCCAAAACACACTCGCCCGTCCAATTCTAACACAAAACAATGGTGTATATTCTAACGTTTAAAAAGTACGTGAAAATGTTTACGTACCGGGGCTGAATTTTCGGCTTTTGCTTCGCAGCGTTTCAGTGTGTTGTGGTTGTGTGGCAGTGTCAGATATTTACTATCTCTCACACAATGGAAGCAGAGCGAGCAGGAGCAAAATGGCGCCGGTGTCAATCATCGTACTCCCACAATGCAATGCCAACATTTGTAAACACTGAAACTTTTTCACCTAAAACGTGGCGGAGAGGGTGGGAAAAAAACAACAATTCAATAGAGTAAGCTTAATTTAGAAAATAATCGGGTTTTGATGACTAACGTTTTTCACTATTTCAAATGTCGTCCCAACAGGAAGTGTCGAAGTGCATAAAAGGCTCCTAAAAGCAACAATATTACAGTATGGCGATAAATAAGCACATTGTAAACTTTTGAGTGAAGGATGGCGTAAAATGAGGCCTCTAGTAAAAAAAAAAATGGGATGGGCATTTTTAAGGTTTAATATCCCCGTGTAAAACACAGAACAGGAAATAGTATATCCATATTTATCGCGTTGGTATTTAAAGCAGCTGAATGATTCATAAATCAACATCTGCACAGGATTAACAAACTGCTCACAATGACTCAGCTTCAACTCAAGGGTTTTGCATTTTCATTTTTGTATGGTCTATGTGTGAAGTTGCTGTCAATTCTCACTCTTCCAGGGGCTGTTAAAATTAAAACAAGGGATTGAGCCAGAATTTCCAGGTTATCCTGTTTTAACCTATTTTTCTGGAGTTTTTACTTTAGTAGTCGGACATACATTTCCATGATGGTTTATTCTGGGAAGTTTGGGCTTACTCCAGATGGCAGTTTGTCAAAATTTTGAGCATAACCCTGAAATCAGGGCAAATCTGGGTTTTCTGTTCCAGAAAGAGAGGCAAATCTAAGTAGTCTCCTGTGAACCCCAAGGCTCTGTAACTCCCCCCGCCACACACACACACACACACACACACACACACACACACACACACACGAGACTTCTGGTTGGTGTTGATCTGTAAGAAATGTAGATGTCAAAATCTACATTAAAAATTGGATTTTAAACCATCTGATTAGGATTACACAACTGTTCAAATTCATTTTTGCAGAGCTTAGTAATGTTACATGTGTATGGAGATTGAATTCATGTCTGCATGGATGAAATGGCAAAGTTTGTGTGTAGTCAGGCAGCAGTTTCTTTTCAAGCAGCATTTCTCTTGTTTTGCAGCTGATATGTTTTCATAGAAGTTTGAAGGAATACTATGTGTAGCCCATATTGGTGTGCAACTCTTCTGGAATTTGATTGACAATCCTCTCAAGGCTGCAGTTCTGCCTGTTGCTGATGCATATTTTCCCCGTCACATTTCTTCTGCCTTCCACTCAATTTTATGTCTACTGTATATGCTTGGATGCAGAACTCTGTGAAAAACCAGCTTCTTCAGCAGTGACTTTTTATGGCTTCCCCTCCTTGTGAAGGGTGTCCATACCCATTTTCTGGACACCTGTCCAGTCAGTAGTCTTCCTCATGATTGTAGATGACTCACCGTTTAATGTTTCAGGAAACCGTTGCAGGTGTTTCGAGTTAATTAGGATGTGATACCATGAGTTTCCACTGTATTCCATTTTTCTGAGATACTGAATTTTGTTTATTATCTGCAAGCCTTGCGATAAACTAGCGCAAGGCTAGCGCAAGGGGTGTACCCTGCCTCTCGCCCATTGAACTCTGGAGACAGGCACTAGCTCCTCTCCTGACCCCAATGGGATAAGAGTGTAAGGAAATGGATGGATGGATCCGCAAGCCATAATCAGTAAAATTACAAGAAACGTTTAGAATATATTTCTCTATTTGTGATGATTCTAGATAATATATTTTTATGATGACTGGCAAGTACTATTTCACTTTTAATATCCATTTTTTTAGATGTACCTGTACATAATTGATCTGGTCTGGAAACATCTTGGTATCCCCAAGAATGAGCTGGAGTATGTTAGCAGAGTGTGGTAGGTACCAGGACCTGATGGGTCCCCAGCCCAACCGGAGACAGTGAAAAACAACAAAACCATCGATGAAGCTTTCTGTCCTTTTGCTAGAACTCTCCCACTGAATGAATGTCAATACAGGAGACAGAACATAAAAAAAACATAAAGCTGAGCAATTCCTGAACACCTTTATTTATTTTATATCTGACTTTAGACTCCTCCAGTTTGAAATGAGTTTTTTCACATTCAAGTACACAGTGCCTTACTGTAACAGCCCATCTGAGAAGGTAGAGGCTTTAGATAAGGCAAGAGGGGCAAAACCTGCAAGCAATATAGAAGTTAAACTGTTACAGAGTACACCTGGATTTAAACGTATTGGATTTATACTGTATGTCATCCATTATGCTGGCCCAGAGGGCCTTGTATTAGACTAATGGATGGATGTACTATACATCTATCTCTAGCCTGAAAACCATGGACCCACACTATCTGAAGAAAAGAAGGTAGAAAGAAAAACAGTCCCTCACTATTTAAAATCCCAAGCCAACTAAAATATCTTATAACTAAACCTGCTTTAAAGTGGTGAACATCATTTCTGTCGTTAACAGTATCAGTAAACAATGTACGATTCTCCAGGAACAAAATTTTAAGGCTCATTAACAAGTTGGTTTTCCCACAAAGCAGCAGCAACATTTTCATCATGTTGTATGAGAAGACATTGTTTCAGCTTTAATCAATTAGTCTAGTACCTGAAAGTACAATGAATAAAAAAAACAAAACAAAAACAACCATTTTAAACTTCAAAAGCTACAATTTTCATCCACTTTCCCATCTTTACCTCATATGTGCAACAACTGTGCCAAGTCTTTGGTCCCTCTTCCAACAGAAAACACACAAGTACTGAAAGATTCCAAAAAAAGCCACTGAAAACAATTTCGAGTAACATTACCTTAAAAAATGGCACAGTAACAGAGAGAGTAAGACATTGATAACCACTGCGACAACCCAAGTGGCTCCATGTCACATCTTCCACTCATCAAAGCCAACATGGACACACAGAAACCTCTTCATGTGTTGGTACCAGGAGTGGGAGGGCGGATGTCCTTTTACGTTGTGCTGTAACATCCAGACAGAACACAACAAGAGATCTACACACAACTGATCATGAATTACTAAAATGCAAATCTTACTTCCAGTTGATTCTCATGCCCAGCTCCACACCTAAAAAAAGTCAACTAAAAATCCCTTTTTACTAGTGATTTCATTTGTAGAACATATATTTATATATATCTATATATATATATAGTATATATTTTACATTTTTGGGGTTCCTGCTAAAAGTACCTTACGTCTTTCTTATATACATTTATAATTGGCTGCAGTCTCAGTCAGTCACAGTACTGTGACCTCATGGACAATAATTTCAGGTACATTCAGGACTCAGTAAAAAGCCTTGCAATATTCTTTACAATTCATAAAAAATACAGAAAAAGCAAAAATATGAGGGTTCCAGCAGTCCACTGTCCTGCAGAGTCTGCTCACCCAAACCTCAACAGTTTCTTCCCCTTCCCACCCAAACGCTTCATTCGGTACGGAGTTCTGTCTCGGGCCTCTGCAGGCCCAGCTCAGTCTGGATGAAGGCTCCCTGGCCCAGAGCCGTGGAGTAAGCCCTGCTGCTGGGGTTGGCAGGGTACGAGCTGGAGCCGGAGCCTGTGTGTTTTTGGACTGGGGCCTGAGGCTGAGGTACTGGGTGGTAATCATCCAGGTTGTCGTAGTGGGACTGCGTGGGTTTGTTGCTGTGTTTCTGGTAGCTGTAGTCCCTATCCAGGTCTGCTTTGCTCTGGTTGAGGTGCTGCTCTTCTCGGACGCCGTGGGAACGCTCCGGTTTGCAACGTGCCAGTTGGTCCCGGGGCGGAAGCTCGTCAGTACCGTGGTAACCACCGGATGACTTCAGCTTGTCGTGGTGGTGGTGGTCAGAATCGGGACACTCGTACCGTGGCTGGAAGGGCTTCTTGGTGGGATGCTCCTGCCGGTGTTTGGACCTGCCGCCGTCGCCGCCCAGCTTGTCCTCTCCGCTCTCGTATTTGAGCTCGTGCCGGCTGCTGTCCGACTGGTGAGACGCGGGAAGAGAGTGAGATGACTGGCATTTCTTGGAAACGCCTTGCTTGGAAACATCCGACTTGTCTCCGCTGCCGTGGACATGCTTGTCTGTCTCCATGTAGACAAGCCCATCAGGGTCAGACACCATGTGTCTGGGAAGGTAGCGTCCATCTTTGCTCTCCACTGGAAGCAGCACAGCTTTACCAGGGTCAGACTTACTCCGCAGGTGCAAGGTTTCATACCCAGATATATCTGCTGGTGTGAAGAGGCCAACGTTGTCGTACTGCGAGAGGACAGGGCCTCTCAGCTTCAGCCTGGCCCTGCTCTCCCTGCGGATCGAGTGCATGCGAAGCCTTTCTGCCTCCTCCGGGTCCCATGGCAGGAACACGGCAGCTTCCTTGCTCCCATGACCAGGAGGCATGTCTCTGCTGACAAAGCCGTGCTCTTTGCCAGGGGGCAGTCCGTGGCGGGAGACGTAGTGGTAACCAGCTGCCTTCCCGCCAGGTCGGCCTCCGGCAGCGCCGGCGTCCCGGCCTCCGTAGGAGTGAAAGTGCCTAACTCGGATTGTGCCGTAAGGGTCAATGTCGTAGAAAGGCGACTCCAACGGGACAGAGCCAGAGTATGGACTGTAGCGGTACTGCACCCGGCCGTTCTCAAAGTACGGCTGCAGTTGGGTGACATGGTAGTCGGTCTGGGATGACTGCTGCGGAGGCTGCTGGTACGCCTTGCACTGATAAACGGGCCGATGATGGAAGAACATATCGTCTTCCGGCGGAACTTCCGTCCTCTGGATGGGGACAGAGCGAATGGTGGGCGGGACGTGGAAGGAGTGGACTCTGCGGATGGTGGGATAGCCGTGGGTTCTGTCGTGGCTGTAGCCCTGGTGATCCGGCCCCGGGGAGACGTGCACACCCCGGGGGGTTCCCCTCAGCTTCATGGAGTGGTGGTAGGACCTGGGACCTAAGGTGCTGTACCTGTTGTCTGCTCGGGCACTGTAGGTTATCTGAGGCTCCGACTTGGACACGTAGGAGTGCGGGGCGACACTGTCCGGGCGGTAATGATGAGGAACAGGCCTCTGGTGGTAGTACGCCGCTCCTGGGGCTTCGATAAGGATGGGCTCTCCTTTAACATGGTAAATGTAGGCTGGCTGGTGAGAGGAGGGTTTCCGTGGAGACAGAGGATGATGGGAAAGACCCTCTGTCAGGTGGCTAGCCGTAGGGCCTTCCCTGAACATCTCGTAGGAAGCTTCACTCTGACTAAGTGCTGCTGTGGCCAGTTTGCTCTCCAAGGTGCGAACTGGGGGAACGGGAGGAGTGGGTCCATAAGAGTCATTGTGTTTGGCTGGTTCTTTGCACGGCTGTACGGGTTTGATGGCTTCCCACGGCTTCTCAACAGGTTCCGCCGAGGTGGGTGCTATTCTGGCACTGGCTTTAGACGGGTGGGCCTGGGGATGGGGGTGGGCCTGGGGATGGGGGTGGGCCTGGGAAGCTGAGTGAGGCTGCGGTGGAAGACGAGGCTGTGTGTGAACTTGGTTGTGCAGCAGAGTCTGAGGCTGGTTCTGAGGAAGCGAGACTGGCTGCCTGATGGGTTTCTGAGCTGTTGGAGGAGGTTGCTCTGATGGTTTGGGAAGGATTGGAGCTGACGCACAATCCTCAGCTTTCATCTGACGATTCAAAGAACAGAAAAAAAAGACAAGTTAGGATTTGTTCCAGTTGGGAAAAGTCAAACAAACCTGATCTATATACTGTCCTGAGTTGCAGTGCCTTGAAAAAGTCATCATATACACAGTCACCACACCTGGTGATGGCAGTATAAGCTATCTAGAGGGTAATCCTGGAGAAAAACCTGTTGGAGTCTGCAAATGAACTGGGACTGGGGTAGAGATCAACTTTCCAGCATGATAATTATTCTAAA